TTATTATATATATTATATATATATATATAATTATTTAAAATGTTTTTATTAAAAGAAATCAGCTGCAGTACATTTAGCGAGGCATTGCTCTGGTCCAAGGGCAGAAAGAATTTATATGGATTGGATTTGGTGGATTCTTCAACTTCTTCCATTTCAACATCTTGTTAGAGTAATAGACTGCTTCTTACACGAAGGCATTAAGGTGAAATACAATTTTGAACAAAATTATACCAATGGATATGGTCAATATGCATATTTATCTCATGATACGTGTTTTGAAAACAGTATATAAAACTTTCTCAGTATTTTCTCTCACATTAGTAAGATTTTATGGCTTTGATCCAGATGGTAGATAAAGATGAAATAAATGATGTATATATATTCTAGTAGCATGAATGTTAAATTTGACGATTGACTTGGTGCCAACAGGAAACCGCCCCAAAAACATTTTTGTGTACTGACTAAACCATCTTTAAGATTTTACACTTATAACTATACATCTATGCCGTATTTTGCTTGAGATTTCTTACTGCAATATATACATACATATGTATGTGTGTGTGCATATTCACATGTGTATGTATATTTAGAGGAAAAATTTCCAAAGATCTACTTTTATATTTTTCAATCTGTTAATATTCAAATGTTTTTCTTGGATATATTTAATAAATTGTATTTGTCATTAGGTATTCTATCGAGTAGCTATGGCAATTGTCCTACTATTTTACAAACATTCGTCGTCACAAAATTCGGAATGGATGCTTGAAATAACTAACAAAGGCGTCGATGCTGCTCTTTCTAAATTTTGCATACAAATACCAGTAAGTAAATAAATCTTTTTTTTCTTATTTATTGAGACAAGAAATATTAGCAAATGTTCTTTTTGTATTATACATCTAATTGTAGAGAAAAATTAGAAAGTCTAATTTACAGGTAACGCCAGCAAAATTCTTACGAACTGCATTTGGAATTCGTGGACTTAGTTCGGCATACATATCACGAGTGTTCTTGCGCACAGAAATGGCTTTGAAAAGTAGAAACTTATTGACAGGCTCCAAGACATTAACGAGATCTCGATCGACGGATAACCTGCCTACGAGTCAATCTCAAGTCAACATCCAAATGATGTCTCATACATTGACAATAAGAGAAGTATGTTACATACATGTTATTTCATTATTCTCATTTGGGATGAATCCAAATATGTATGCAAAATAATGCAGCGTGGATCACGTGGAATCAAGAAAATAGTAGATTATTATACATATTATTCTATGTGTTTGTGTTCGTGAAAGCTTTAGTAACATTATATTCCGTTAAATATTGCAAGTACACTCAATTAATGAACGCTATACCTTATTTTCGTATATCGATCTTTCACACTCTTAGTTAATATACATATAATACAAATTTATTCTATCAATTTCTACACAAGGAAAAAGTAATAATTTATAGTCTATCAACTAGACGACAATTTCAGATGCAAGGAAAAATAATGAAAAAACTACTTAGTTCGTCTTGTGTCCACCTAAGCATGCATAATTTTACGCATTGGTATTTTATTTTACTTTTTTTCTGATTGAAGTAGTAAGTATATTATTAAAGCAACAACTTCTTTCTATATTGATGGCTATTTCTTCATGGATTAAAGTTTGAACAAGTTGATATGCTTGTACATACATAGCAGGGAAAATATTTAGAAAGTAATTTCGTAGGGTTTGGTTTGTTAAAAATTGCACAAATCTTTCAATGATTAAATTTGTTTTCAGAAAGAGTGCGAAGACACGTACAAAGACAGGGTATCGTATAATTATCTTTTTGGGAAATGTGTTGTTAGTTTCATGTGTTCTACGCTCTGTTCCTGAACTACTACCTGTTATAATCATACTCACTCATTGTTCCACTCATTGTGCTAGCTTCTCCGCCATTATCCACTCACAGCTACTACTTTTTTTAAAAGATTAATACGATCATTAATAAGAAGTCACGTGCAATAATGACAATATACATACTTACAATACATATATGAATATCACTGGATTATCGTTGAACTCTTGACACATAATACAATTTACTTTGTATTTGTTGAAATAGGAAATTTATTTATGGATCCTTTTTTCGCTCTTTTTCTTCTTAATAATGTTATACCTTCTGAAGGTGTAGATAGCGCCTTTTAGCGATCCATGTGTGCTTGCTATTGCCTGATAGAAAACTCTAATGACTTCAGGTACATGAAATCAATTCTATAGGTCTAAACTACTTCATTATACAGAGAATGTAATACATTAGACGAAATCCTATGATGTGGTCACAATATTAATATTTTATGCAAATGGAATTGGCCAACTACTTGACACATGTTACTCATACTTTCTCTTCTCGTTTTGATTGATTACATCTCTTAGCGATATTGACACTGACACTTTCTTGCTACATTTATTATCTTCTGTGGCGAATACCCATTTTGATTATGCTGTATATTTAACTTGAGTAATTTGAAAATATCATTGGCTGTTGTTGCTCATATGTTGCGTACATATGTATATGATGGTATACATATACGTACAAAACTTTTATGCACACGCACACTGGCACACAAAATTGAGTCTAAAGTATACAATAATGTAACTGACGACTCTGTGTTGCTTTGTGTCATGCTGCGTTACTGGAATGATGGATTTAATGGTGATGGGTATAGGGTGCTCACAGTCCTGGACCTAGAGCTCTCTCAATGGGTGTTTATCCCATACAAAACATATGCTCCCAGATTCTTGACATGCCTGATGTAAGTATTCCTATACGTCTGCTCTCGTAAAAAAAGCAAATTCTGAAAAGGCAGAGCGCTTTCGTAGATCGTTCGTCGATTTTCTGTGGCATGTCGGTATGTCGTTATTGATGTATATATTCTTGCAATCTAGATCAACCACGATAGATCAAACTAATTACGGATACTTTGATATTAAGTATTATTAATTAAGCTTATAAATATTATTATTATTATTATTATTATTATTATTATTATTATTATTATTATTATTATTATTATTATTGTTGTTGTTGTTATTATTATTATTATTATTATTATTATTATTATTATTATTATTATTATTATTATTATTATTATTATTATTATTATTATTATTATTATTATTATTATTATTATTGTTGTTGTTGTTATTGTTATTATTGTTTTTTTTGTTATTATTATTATTATTATTATTATTATTATTATTATTGTTATTATTATTATTATTATTACTACTACTACTACTACTACTACTACTACTATTATTATTTTATTATTTTAGTATTATTGTTGTTGTTATTGTTATTATTGTTATGTTATATATTTTTATTAGCTACGACGTACCATTATCATTTTTATTTACATTCAAGAGATGTAAATGATAATTATAGATTCAGTTATTTGTGTTAGTTTGTTTTTTATTATAAGTATACTTTCATAGTCGTAATTGAATTTTTCTATAATTTATATTCTTTGTCTATATCTATACGTTCCATCGGAGTTATAAAATGTAGATTTCTTCATTTATTTGACAATGTATAAAAATGTGTCCACATCAATTTTTCAGTTTGCAGTATATTTCTTCCATGAGTCTGCAATACATTCTACCATCAACAGACATAAATTTCTTTCGCTCTTCTTCAGAATGTCACTGTGCATTTAGTAAACTTCATGTAGGTTTGACTAGTATACCTAGATCGTATGCATGTGAAATAAAAAAATCTTGCATTCACATAACTTTTGATATATCTTTTCAATCCAAACATTTTTCATATTAAATTTTAACAATCGTTCCGATCTATGATTTACTAAATATTGTCCTGTTTGATGCACATTATACATAGGTTCTTTTTATTTAGTGTGAGTATTACATTTTTTATTGCAGAATACACATTGTCCCTTGCCTGTTTATACGCGACCGGATTGAAATTATTTATTTATAATAATTACTGCAAACATTTCTTATCAATTTTAATATATTTCTACGTATTTTTTTATTATTTTTTGCCAAAAAATTATTTCAATTTACTTTGTATACTTTTTTCATTTAAATTTATGCCAAAACAATTATAAATGAAATTTGCATCATTAAGTAGATTATAGTTAAAAATAAGTAAGATTTGGTTCGATTGAGTGCATGATCTGTCGCTGTTGTGATTTACTTTGCTTTTGAAATTTAAAATAAATTGCTAAAAACGATTAATGTTTGCATATTTACCAAAATTGCACCAAACCATTCGATAGATATGTTTATTAATTCAATTTATTTATTTATTTTTTATACAGTTATTCACCTTATGGTCATGGCTACCTATGAGGATAACCATGTACCAACCAATTTTGCTGTACACAACCGAAGAACACGGATGTTCTTTGACAACATTTTATGTACGCGTTGAACAACACGAACCAACTCTTTTAATGATAAAGACATGTAATAACGAGGTAAATATATCGTTTACATGATTAAATAATTAACCCGTTGCCGCACGCTTTTAATTTGATGATCGTGCTCAGAAACACACTTTTTTTTTCAATTGTTTATGACTGCCAGATGGAATCAAGTGTAAGTTGTATGTTTGGAAGTAAAAATTATCACATTTGGCCACAGTTTTTTCAAAAAAACTCTCGTCATTTGCGGCAACGGGTTAAAATTACTTTATCCATTTTTTGTTGAAATATATTTAAAATATCTTATTTATTTGTGTATGTGTGTGTTCTTTTTCAAAGGTTTTTGGAGCGTATTGCTCGACAAGATGGTGTGAACGTAATTTAAAGGATGATAAAGGTCAAAGACAAGCATATTTTGGTACAGGAGAAACATTCCTGTTTAGTTTGTATCCAGAAAGAGCAAAGTATCCATGGGTAGGCATGGATTCTTCGCACAATGATACTAGAGTACATCATTCGGCTGAATTATTTATGGCAGCTGATTCCAAAATGATAACAATTGGAGGAGGGTAAGTTTAATATTTTAAAATAATATTTAAATTACATTTACACATAATTTTTTTTCTAGGGAAGGCCAAGCTATTTGGATGGATGAAAACATAAGATTTGGCAAAACCGATAGGTGCTCAACATTTAATAATCCACCTTTATGTGCTAGCGGTGATTTCGAGATCAGGGTACTCGAGGTATATGGTTTCGCCGGTGCTTAATAACGAAAGAAACAAGAAACAAACAAAAAACGGAAAGTAAACAAAACCAGTTGCCATATATCGATTATTTCATTTCTTACTGCCATTTAGCGACTCTCTAGATGTATGAGTGCGTATAGTATATTCATACACATATATGTTGGCTTATATATACATTCTTGATTATGGCTTTGACTCATCATCTATATGTGTTAACGTCTTGTGTCCACAATAAAGTGATTACTGATGATATATATAGTCATATATATGGTGGTCATATATATATCCTCTTGGTCACTTGATAAATATTCAAACTTTAAGAGAATACATATATAAATATTCTGTCACAACGAGTTAATCAAAAAATTTTAAAAAGCAAAAAAAGAAAACCAGGATATAAGATCTAATAGATGATTCTTACATCAGCTTAAATTTTCACGTGCTCTTTTCTTTTCTTTTTTCTTCTTTCTTTTTTCTTCTTTTTTTCTTACCGATGCTTGATTTCCGTTGAGAGTATTTGTCTGATACATACATACATACACACACACAAACACACACAAACACACATATCCATAAACATACGTTGTTACGAACTCAATTATTATAGCTCCAATTAAAAGATACGCTTGTATCAATAGGAGTGTCGCTTTTTACACGAAAACGAATTTCGACAATAATCGCAGCATATATATATACATATATATATATACAAGAATGGTATGTGTTATTTATGTTCGTTATTTATGAATAGTTCATATTCATCGAGCTAGTAAATATTGTTATATATTTGTGTATATAGTTAAATAGATAGATATTGTATGTATATTATAGATTACTTCATTACGTCCACGATTCATTACTTTTGCAATGTATTAATCTTTTCACGCGCATTAGTTTTTTTTTATCTTAAAAATTTATTTATCTTATTGCTAATTTCGATCATCTATTAAAAAATGTGTACGAAAAAGGAGTATTGACAAAATTCATATTTATAATACATAACTAGCCTTATAAATATCTATGAATCTGTTACGCAAGTATAAGTCCTCTTGTATAAGTATATATGCGAGTTTGAAATCGTATGTAGCTATCTATTGTAAATATTATAAATATTATGTATGTTGTGCACACAGATAGATATCACGAAGAGTGAATTAATATGATTTTGAAAAATTATCTTATTGAGAAAACAAAGAAAAAAGTAAAAAACTAGCAAAGGCTGAATTTTGCAACTTTACGCTTCTCACGTAACGATTATTATATCAAATAATAGTATTGTTAGAAAAAACAAGAAGCTATATAAATATTTATGTGTATACAGGATGGAATAAAAGTTCATAGGTAATTTTAAAGATCAATGACTTTCTTTAAAACTTTGTAAACTTGTAGTTTTACAAGCTAAGCTGTTAATTGTACAATTTAAAAACTAAAATAAGCTTTAAAAGTCTCGAAAAATAGTAATTTATGTTTCAATTTATCTACATACTTTTGTCCACCTAAAAACTTTTGGCTTACCCTGTGTATATATATATGTATACAAATAACCCCAGAAGAACACGATTATTTGGTTCCGTATTCTCTTTGAAACCGTGTTGTTCGAGACTTAAAAAAACGTTACGTTTTAAATTTTTTGTTTGTTAAATATAAAACTAAAAATTATTATTCTTTGAATTCATATTGGTAAACACTTCTAAAAAATCTTCTATTATATAATTCAAATTAATTTTTTAATTAGTTTTGAAAATACGTTTTATCTTAAATTTATATATATTCTCGTTATGCTCTATTTTCCATAACAAACTTCGTACAATTTAAATAACGAAGAGATGTTGACATTAAGAACATTATTACCGTCATATTTCTATTA